GCCTTTCCGGGCATTGCCACCACGCCCCGGCCAAAGCAAGCAGCAGCACCCCCCCCTCCCCAGATATTTATCCACCCCCCTGAACGAAAATATGAAAATCCGTCTCTGTTCGACACAAAAGAAAATGCTACGATACGGTTGAAGTGGAAAACAGGCTTTAGTTTCTTAAGGCCCATTATACTGTAATTTCCTTTCAGGCCAACACAAATTTTCCGTGGGAAAAAAATTTTGAAGTTGAAATTTTCAACTTTTAACAATGACATTTTCGGAATATTTTCTGTCCTTGGAAATTTTTCTGGAGTGGAATGAGCCTTTACTCATCTCTTTGGCTGTAAAAGTGAGATTATTTTGAACTCAACAAGAGTTGCACTCTCATCCTCGTTTCATCCCGGTTTAAATTTCTCCGTACTTTTGTAGTATATGTCACTGATGGCTGAACTTGGTGAAGGTCCAGAAGGCGGGCCACCCCCCGCTCCACAAGGACCTCGACCCCCACACCCTGGACCTCCCCAACAAGGTGGTGGTCCTCAGTCAGGTGCTCCACCAAGGCCAATGCGTATGCAGGGACCAGGACCTATGATGGGGAATAACCCACCCATGAGGTCCCCCCACGGAGGAAAGGGACCTCGTATGGGAAGACATGTAAGTAGATTAATGTTCACTTCAAGAGTTTTAGAATTGAAGGCCTTGTATATATATCTGACTTTTTTAAAAGACGTAAATCATAATGGTCTTAATGTTGAACAGGATAGGAACAATAGCCGTTACTTGCATAATTCCTATAGCTACATTTTAGGGCATGTATGGAACAATTTACCGCTCCCTGCACAATCTGCATCGACATCTGTCAGTGCTTATATGTATTAATCTAGCACAGTGTAAATAACATGAGTTCCATTATAGTAAATAATACAGAAAGAAATTGAAGGAAAACAATTAAAGCGAGTCTTGCATTTTCGGTTCAGTTTTGAACCGAGATTTTCCGAAGTTGACAAGTCTCTCTTTCTCGCTCCGCCCCTCCGTACTACGTCATGTAATGTACACTATAGTGGATCGATACTATATGACAATGAAAGAGAGACTTGGAGCAAGTCTAGATTTGAGCTGGAGACAAAATCTGATTTCAACGAATGTTAACTAGAAATGTTGACACATGTTGCCTCGTGATTTGTAATTTATGTGTAAATATGTTCAGTTAACATGCGTTGAAATCAGATTTTGTTGCAAGTTGCAGCAATTTTGTTGCTCGTATTACTCCACCTTTACACAGTACAACTCAAGTTGTGAGCAGGTTGCATGCGACAGTTTTAGGCAAAAGTTTAGTGTAAATTGACCTTTACATAAACCATTTTTTCATGCTTAGAAATGTAGGCACTGTATAGATCTTTATCATGCTTTTTTAGTCAACTGCGTCACTAACATCGTTTCTAAAAACAGAAAATTTTTAATAGGGATTGTATGCAATGACTTTCAAACAAGACATAATAGGAAAAAACTTACGTTATCGTGGGACAATTCCATTTTGCCTTCATATTGTGCCCTGAAGGCTAGTTAGTACGTTTCTGTATATGTTGGCCGCGTTAAAATTTCTTGTGGGCTCCTGCCGACACGTTTTTCTTCGAAGGTTGTATTGAACTCTATTACAGTTAAAAAAATGTGAATTTTCAAATACGTTTCTAACACAAATGACTTACATCATTTGAAAGCTTGCAAAAAACTACATATAAGACATTTAAACGGTTACTCGAGTTTTTCTTGAGTTATGAGCTTTTGAATGCGTGTTTTCAGACTAGTACCCAGGAATTTTTTTCGAGATTTTGGTTTCTTTTTCACATTTGAAACGGCAATAACTCGAAAACCGCTTGAAAATCCCAACTAACCATTTAAATGTTTCATATGTAGTTTTTTGTTAGTTTTCTATTGATGCAAGTCATTTGTATTAGAAATGTATCAGAAATTTCACATTTTTTAACTGTAATAGAGTTTAATACAAAATTCGAAGAAAAACGTGTCGGCAGGAGCCCACAAGAAATTTTAACGCGGCCAATATACAGAAACATAATTACTAGCCTTCAGGGCACAATATGAAGGCAAAATGAAATTGTCCCACGATATGGTAAGTTTTCCATAATTTTGGTCCTCTATCTGCCTGACTATAACAACAAAGAATAAAATGTATTTGCTGACGTTTTGTTTCAGGGTGGGCATCAAGGCGGACATCAAGGCGGGCATCAAGGTGGACATCAAGGTGGACATCAAGGCGGACATCAAGGTGGACATCAAGGTGGACATCAAGGTGGACATCAAGGTGGACATCAAGGTGGTCATCAAGGTGGTGGTATGCCACCATGGAATTCTGGAAGAGCTAGTGCTCCAAAACCACTCATGAGTTCACCGGTACCCCCACCTCCTAACCTAAATAGAGGGCCCCCTCCTCCCGGTAATCATCAACCCTGGAATAAACAATCACCTGGTAACTCAGGACCACCAACACCTTTTGGCATGCAAGGTAATAAAGATATCGTATTAACCCGTTCACAATTGCAAGATTAATGAAGCTCACATCTCTTAACAGGGTTTAATATTACGGACTTGAACCATATTTTAAGGAACATTTCTATATCGAAACCTAGAAAAAATATCTATTTGTTTATCGCTAGGCCCCCCACAGCATGGACCCCCTCCTGGAATGTCGGGTCACCCCCCTCCGCCCGGACATGGTCAAGGTCATGGTCCACCTCCTTGTCCCCCTCCCTCCGGGCAACAAAATTCAGGACCACCACCGCCGCCACCCCCTGGTCAAAACACAGCCCCACTACCTCCATGGCAGGCTCAATCAAGTATGTATGAGAGTTTTATTAAATAGCTGGAGGTTTCAGGTATATTGGTATTTAGACCATATTACTTTTGGTATATAGTATTTTATTGTTAAAATAGATTGAAATATGGGTATAAAGTACACTACATTTACCCAAGATAAGTACTCAGGCAGATGTAGCAAGGAATTTTAAGTATACTGGTATATATATTTGAAAAAAAATCAATTTATTGGACCATGTCCAAGCGGTAGAGTGCGAACGGGACTCAAAGTCCCATGCGAGGCACTCCCCCGTTGCAAACTGTAAATATTTCTTAAATATTTACATTAATAAACAGATTTAGATCGAGGACGCGGACTTCAAAGACGACGTGAAAATGGCGTAGCATATCCATACATGGGCACAACACGCCATTTTCACGTCGTCTTTGATGTCCGCGTCCTCAATCTAAATCTGTCTAATAATAGCTATGAAAAAACATATGCCAATTACTTGAGCACCAACTAATTCTTAAAACCGCACGCAACTTACAGTAATGGTGCTTGAATATAAAGGGTAGAGTACGTTTACACACAAACGATCACTCGGCCGATTTCAGGTATTGCCGAATGTTAAAATGACAAAAGTTATATCAGTTGACAACACAGAGTAGACAGATATACAGAACTACAACTAGTGCACCCACCTCTTTGTGCGCGTGCTCGGCAAGTTACTAGATGCATGCATCCCATTGGATGGCGGCTCGCTTTAACTGCTCGCCGAACTTGCCGAGCACGCGCAGTAAATGATATAGCCAGTATTATCGAGTATATTAGTGCTCGGGTAACTCCCCCCCCCCCCTGGCTGGGTCTGCACAATAATGTGTAGTCCACTTCTGGGATTCAACATTTTCCTGTCAATTGACAACTAAAGCCTCTTTTCCATTCATCTATTCTCGACAATTTGTTTTAATTAGGTGCAAGCACTCGCAGCGGGCTTGCGAATTGATTTTGCAGTGAGTGGAAAAGAGCATTTATAAAGGCAGAAAAAAATAGATTTAAGCCCTTCAACTAAAGCTCCGTTTACACGAGCAAATTTTATGCATTTGTCACAATAAATTTGTCACAAATTTATCATCTGCACGAGCAAAATATCTTTGACATATGGAATTTATCAAATAAAATTCGCTCGTGTAAAGGGGACCATAATTCAATCGAGTTGGATGCCAACAAAATGTTGATATTTACCCATACTTTGACGTCATATTTCAAATCCGACTATGAGGACTCGACTAGATTTCAAATCGCGCAATGGACAACTTGCATGTTAGACTAAATTTTAATCTAAGTAAAGAGAAGGGAATAAAACACAACAGTTACTGTCGTTCCAATTGAAGTGTTCCTCAAATATTGATTCAATACATTACCTCGGGCTGACCAATTCATTTGATCAAGTTCCTCGAGATATTCATACACTTCCTAGTATAATTGTAAACTTCCTGTTGAATAGTTTGAATGCACCAATCACCTTTGCTGTTTGTGCAACTAACCAATCATAAATAGAAAGGAAGTGACCAGAAATGATCAAATACTTGGAATTGGCTCTTTCACAGGAAGTGTATGAATATTTCGAGGAACTTGATGAAATGAATTGGTCAGCCCGAGGTAATGTATTGAATCAATATTTAAGTAACACTTCAATTGGAACGACAGTAAACATTAATTTCTTTTTAATTTTCTTCATGAATTATTGTGTATTTTAAGTGTATATAACTTTCCACTCCATAATTTCCATCTACAATGACCAAATAAAATAACAATTTGAACATCATGAAATTATTTGTATTTAGATCCCTGGCAAGCAGCAGCAGCATTTGGTTTCAACCCACCTCCCCCGGGTTATGGTGCATATCCTGCTCAACCTCCTCCCCCGCCCCCACCGCCTGCACCATCAACTGAATCTCAGGCACCACCACCTCCATGGGTAAGCCTTAATCTTTTAATTTTTGAATGAATATGTTATCTGCGGCCTCACGAGTTACGATACGATTGTGATATTGACGGGTGGCATTTAACCCATCGAGTCGCATTGCGCCCCAATGTGCCTTACTTTGTTATTTTACTCCGTCTAACGCCAGACGATCTCACTCGTGGCGCCGGCTGCACCGAAATGATCAATGGAAATTTCCATTGCAAGATCTTGAAATTATCATTTTTTCAATAGCACGTGATCATATTCGGCCAATTAAATTTAATAAGGTGATATATAGTAATTACTTCTATCAAGATATGATGGTCTGGAAACTAATTGTGTTATGTGTTTGTCGGAGTTTATGTTAATTTGTGTACGGTCACGGTGATTTAGCTCATTGTATTTTCGTATAAAGTAATCGTCCAACAGGAATAGCTGAGGTGAAACGTGCAACCACGATGAATTATTTTTAATGAAGTTGAGACAAAGGATTTGTGCATGGTGAGATACAGTTCAACATCAAACAAAGCTCTTCTATTTTGTGGCTTTGAAGTTTGCCAGGCTTCCAGACCATAGCAAAAAATAATGTTGGATCTTGGCATAGAACCCCAGACCTGGCTTGGCTGGCATTAAATTTTAGGTCGTTGCATAATGCTAACAGACACAATAAAATAAAATACATGAAACCTCTGCAACCCCTCCTTGCAGATGAGGTTAGATCCGCCCCTGGTGACAACCTTTGTACCATGTTGTTTAATCTAACCATTATCTTTCTTCATTAACTAGGCTCAGGTTCTTATGGCAGCCTCACAACCACCTCCACCGCCGCCACCTAACTAAACATTCATTTCTCAGCTCAAAGACCGAAGTAAAATTATTTTATTATTCTCCAACTAGGAGAGAACACACTCTTTTCATCCATGCGTGCCTTTTGTACTATATGGAAGGCGTCAGATTGCACGGGACTTTTATCCGATGGGGTTTTAATGCCAATACTACACGTAGTTAGTGTGCTGTCCTAATCTATAAGGGGGTTGTACAAGAGAGCAACTAGTGCTTGATCATTTTACCCCATGGGGCTTTTATACCCTTACCTTTACTGCTTGGAAGATGTTTGTGGTCTTGATTTGAGTTTAGCCTTAAAAAGTTTGTTTGTAAAAAGTCATAAGGCGAACTCGATATATAGGGTCATTAGTATCACTAATATTTTTTATCCCAAGGGGCATTCGCATCCTGTAATCTCTAATACGTGATCAAAAATATTTTATCTGCAATCATGCCAAGGGTATATTAGTATTACGAGTATTGTTCCCAGAGGTAGAAAGGTATCGGAACCTGCAAATCTAGTCCCCAGAAATTTTTTAGGATCTACATTTTTGCAGAACTTTTTTGCAGACAATTTTTATGTGTGATAGCTAATTCTGAAAATCAGACTGATTGAATATCTAAAGTTACTAAATATCGGATTATTAAAATGATTGAATACCTAATTAATCTATTGACTGGATACCTAAATTACAGCGGACAGGTTCATCAAAAATATTCATATGGCCTGCACTAGGAAATTTGTTTTTAATCCTGTAAGACTGTGACTACTCTGATTACTTCAGGTTTTACCTTATCCTATTCCTTATCAGTCTTAAAGACATATTGCTTCACATGAAAACACCATAAGACAAACACAAACGACAAAACCCCTATTTATATTGCAATATTCTGCAGAAAATTTTGAGTTCTAAATCCAGGTTCCCAGATATTTTTCACCTCTGATTGTTACTACGTGAAAATGAACATTTTGATCTTTTTTGCTGCTGAAACAAGGCATAAGGGATTCACCTAATTGTCTCCACGTTCTAGAACTAAAACTTTAACATGTGTGTTTGGTTAATGTAAACATTGTAGCTGTCTTGAAACAGCAGAGGCTTTTAAAGTGCATTATAGAATCGAAGATTTTTATTGTCCTAAAGAAAAATGGCAACAAAAATTACGTTTGCTTATGTACGAGTCAAATCCAACCGCGATCAGCCCCCCCCCCCCGGGCAACCCCCGGGGAATTTGACTTTTGAAAAAATAATTGGTCAAATGCCCGCCCGAACAGGCAGAAACCACAGTCAAATGCCCTGCTATAGCAGTATAGGGGTAGTCCTGTTTCGAATTTTGACTAAAATTAAATTTAAGAGGTATTTCAAGATTAAAAAGAACGAAAAATAGGCCAGACAGTTCTTCTTTTTGTTCAACTGGGCATATTATATCATATATCTATGATTGATATTTGTGATTCAGAAGCAATTTTCAAACTATCGAAAAGACGCAAAATAGAAAACTCGTAAAGCGCTAGAAGGTACACATCTTTTTAGGGAAAACTGCTGAGCAAGTTGTTGTCAAGTGGTCAAATGCCCGGCCGGGCCGTCAAATTCCCGACCGGGCTGTCAAATTCCCGCCTATACGGGGGTAATGTTAAGTCAAATGCCCTGGGGTTGCCCGGGGGGGGGCTGATCGCGGTTGGATTTGACTCGTACATTAATTTGAAAGAATATTTGATGTAATTAGTTCTTTGTAGGATTGCATGACGTTGAAACATATAATACATTTTGTTTGTGGAAACACCACGTTAATTTATTACTGCAGTATTAAATTTACGTGGTGTTTCTTCCACAAACAAAAAGTATTATATGTTTGATGTATTTACAAATCTTTTTTAAATGCTCCCAAATTATCTTAATTTTTGAGATATTTTGAAACCAAACCAAACCATCCCGCCATCTTGTTTTATAATTAGATCTTACTAAATGACGTCACAACCATGCTAGACATTTTAGAACCAATCAAAGGCCGTTGAGGTCGACTCACGGACGGATGAGATCAAATGAAAATGACAGAAAGAATTTGAGCAGTTTTTTCGCAAACGGGAACCGTGCGAATTTTACCATTTGTCGTGCTTCTTTTGCCAAATCAAAAGAACGAACGCGTGCTCCAACCCGATTTCCGGTTACGGGAAACAGTGCGCGCAAAGCAGGCCGGTCATTTCTCATTGTTTAACTGCCCCACATTCATGTAACCACAAAGACTCGCAGATGTTGTTTCGCCCGTGAATAAAGAGCTTGTACATTAATTTCAGAATAGACAATAGTAAAAAAATAGGATGTAGCATTAACGTTGCGTTAGGCCTGTTTTATACGTCGAATTTCGGTCGCGTTGAATGCAATTTATAATGAAGCTTACTGAGGTTTATCATCTCATCTATTGAGTCTTAATTCGACGAATAAAACGGGCCTTGAATTGCTCAAGATATAAAATAATGTTATCCTTGTTGTGATTTCACGCCAGTGAACTCTAAAAGGACTGGAACCAGGTTTGAATCGTTAAAATTGAAGCCTTTTGATTAAAAAAGTACTAATTGTCGCTCAAAATCAAGGGGATTTTAGCCTGCATGAGATTTAGTTTGTAGAAAAATTTTTTCTCGTTTGTTTACTGCTATAGTAAAAGCAATATTTGGACAGAAACGAGAACGACTACGACTTTCTCGCACGCGGATCAAATCTCGTAGTCGCTGCTAAGGCCTGTTTTATACGTCGAATTTTGATCGCGTCAAATGCAATTAAGACGATAGATAATGAGATGATTTGAATTGCATTCGACGCGACCGAAATTCGACGTATAAAACAGGCCTAAAGCTCCCTAATACCATAGTTACAAGAATAGATGGTTTGGAATAACATAGCTATCTTGGAATAACAATATAACTCGTTATCTATGTTAGTCAACGTTAATTCATAAATCTGGTCCTTCACAGTCACGTGTGTATTGTATTTTGCCCAACTAACGAATAGCAATGTTTTAAGAAAGTTACCTATCCGTGACTCGAATAATAGGGTAAATTGGAAATTACTATTGGTGAATTTGGCAAAATACAATACACGTTGCGGTGAAGGACTAGATTTATGAATAAACGTTGACTAACGTAGATAATGAGATACATTGTTATTCTAATGAGTTTCCAAACCATCTATTCTTTTAATTTAATTAAGCTTATATGAACAGTCGCAGGTAGAAAAATTGTCTATTTTTGTCCATATTTCAGCTGCGCATGGTAAGGCTGCATGCAAATGACGCATTCTACGCTTGGAAAAATTGCAGTTGGTCTATAACATGTAGCCGACACTGCAAGAATTAGAATACGCATATTCAAAGTATTCAACTGTCCAAGCGTCATTTGAGACAAAAAATCGTACTCAACCCTGCCCTCACTAACAACTGTGCCCACAGACCCCCGCTGCAGTTCGCTCGGCGGCGCTAGTCGCCCCCTCGCTCACCATTTCGGCAATCCTGAGAGCACAATTTGAAAATCCCGTATATGTTTTATGGAGATTAGCGGTTTAAAGATAACAGGTGTTTTCAACCAGTTAAAACCACAACTTATGAACACATACAAACATCCACACAAACAGCACAGGGCACATATAAATCCAGATGAAAACATAACCTGATAAGCTCCCCGCGCGGAGGTCATAGGAAAAAAGTCCAGGGCTGAAAGTTAGGCCTAAATAAGCCGCGGTTTATTGCAAATTGACCATATACCGCGGTTTATTTTCGTGCGTATAAAAAATGGGCCTTTTATGTAAATTAGTTCTTGTTTGACAACGGGTGTTTTAACTTAAACCAATAAAAAACACGCCTCGAGTGAACATAGAAACAAGGGTAAATATGTTTTGTTTTTACTCCAGGTACTTTATTAATGCGCTTCGTTCTTGGTTTATCCAGCAAACAGCTTGCACTAAACAGTTAATATTTGAGTAATTTTGTTTTTGAATAAATTGCGAATTATCCAAGTCAAATTTACGGAGAAGCTATACTTTGGATAAGGTTTGTATGCCAATATTTTTTTTGTACAATTTTACTGTTGCAAACTTTCGTAGTCCAATTGTTTTCAATACGGTGTGAATTGTTGCATTTCAGATTAACCAGAGAGAGTATGCTAAATAATGCGCATTAAAGTGTTTTAAAAAAGCCAATTAAATAAATTAAAGTGTGTTAATAAGAGGCGATTTTTTCAATGGCCCATATTTGCGATGGAAAGTATTCAAAACCGAAAATGTTTTTGGCATGCCTCTTAAAATTGCTTTGTTTTAGCTTTATTCTCTAGCTTGTAGAGTTAGCTACGTTAGAAACAAAATAATAGTAAAAAATTTTCTATTAAAATACAATTATCAATGAGCGTTAAAAACGACGTTGTTTACAGCAATACGAGCAAGACTTACTGGACTTACTGAAGAACTTCAGACTTCATTTTCTGTTTGACATACCATCTAAAATCTCTTCATTTTAGCATAATTTTAGATGCTTTTTAAGGGGTTTTTTATTGTTAAAGCGAAAAATTGTTCGAATTAGCGTGGTTCGACTTAACGCGTCTGTATAGCTCAAGAAAAAGATTTATAAAGATTGAAAAATATAAATATATATATTAGCTATTAACAAGAGATTATATAAAGGGAATTAAATTGGTGTGACCGGGTCGGAATAGAGCAGGATGATTTATAGATGCAAGTCTAGTGTTGTGGTTATGTGCCTGGTTTACAGGAGTAAAGTAGTTTTTGAACGTATCTGGCAAGTTATGGAATTTATGCATGAGGATTGTGATATGTAAATTACAAGCTCGGGGAATTTTATTATTTTAAGTTTTTTTTAATAAAGAGGGGCTAGAGTTGGGCATTAACTTTAGAAAATGTCGTAATACGTGTTGCCTTTTCAGTAATGATCGACGCAACTTCGTTGAACCTTTTGTTTCTTTATTCACTTGTATTCCGTTTGTATATTTTTCAATCCCAGATAATGCGATGGTGATACAAATTACGCTCGGTTCTAAATTGCGCAAATTAATTTTGCGCAGCCTAAATTTTCGCGCAGTTTGTTATCGCGCAGCTGGAAAATCGCACAGATGAGTTTCTTTGTTAAAACTGTTTATTAAAATTTTATGAATGTTTTGTTAGAATTTCCAAGCCACCTGCTTGTCAAAGAGGAGAATCTTTTGTATGTTACATAACACGCGCTCAAAACTTATGAATATATACCGCTTTTCCATAGATTTTAGGTTTTGAACACTTCATCGCAAATATACGCCATTAAAAAATGCGCGCCTTTTGAAAGTCCTTGATTTTGAATTGTGAATTTGGTATTGAATTGATTTTATATCTCAAAACTGTGATATCAGTCGATTCATCGTATAGCCCTTTGAGTGGCAATGCGCTCTGATGCGGCCCTACTTTATTATTTTACTCTGTCTAACGCCAGACCATTTTACTGGTCAAAAGCAGAGTGCTGCCACCCAGTGTAACTGGATCATCGCGCGAATTTGGTATTTGTTGATTTGCTTTCAAACTTTATACTTTATCAAGTTTATAATTTTAGGTCTAGAATGAGGTGGTTGGTTTCCCTGAGCGCGATTCTCGTGCAACTATATCGGCTTTATATGTTTGTGGACGTTTTGAATGGAGGTAACAAAGATTTAATTATGAGGATCATGAAGGGCGGGGGTCCATCTCCTAGCCCAAATTTTGTCGAGTTTGTCGGTTGACCGAGTCAAATATCTGACGAGTCAAATGTTCGGAGTCACTGTTAAGCAACACCGCGGAAAAACGTCTGCGCATGCACCAAATTATGAAAATATGGCGGGTAATTTGAATATCAATTTCTAAAACAAAAACATGCTTATTAATTGGTCAAAAATTAGTAAAACAAACGAGAAAATATAGCAAATGGGTAGACTAGACATTAATTAAAAGCGTCCTGGCATTTAAAGTATGGAATGAAATATAGTTCATGTAAAAAATTGTTGATTTTAACGGACACGACTTCGAAAATTTTTGCAAAATTATTCAAAACAAAAGTTAAGAAAACTCTCGAAAAGTTAAGCTTCTTAACCCACTCAAATTGTAGAATAAATCCTATAGTTTAATTATTGTGAACACGAAAATTTTTTATATTTGGCGACATAGTTTTTTTTAAAGAAATGTATCTCAAACGAGAATTCGGAAATTGTCGTGGTCTGTCGTTGCTTAGTTGATAAACAAAATGTTTCAGACGATAAATTTGTCAACAATCACCTTTAGTTCATGTTCTTGTACAATACAATTTCTTGAACCTTCTGGCTGTATTTATTCCTAGTTTTTAGAATGACATGTTTATTTTCGCGCTCGAAATCTGGCTGTAAAGACGCACAATGAAGTCACTCCTTTTTACCGCCATTTTGAGCCTTCGGAAACGTTCGGAACAGCTTCTCATCAAATTCGCAATACTCTTACAGGTAAGGTTGACGCATGCGCAGACGTTTTTCCGCGGTGTTCTGTTAAGCGGTCTTTGTATAGTTCAATGACATCTGTCCTAACCCTACTTAACTCCTAACTCTATTCGATTGTGACTTTTATTCAATTTCGTCTTTTTTACGTGACTCGCGGACGTTGGACTCGGATTTGACTTGTTAAATGGTTTACTCAAATTTTCTCAATTCTATTCCCTAGCCCTTTTTAATTTTTAGACCAAATGTGAAATTGAAAGAAAATCCCAGAGCATGTGGTTCATCTATGTGATGACTAATTAAACACAGTTCTGCGTTCAATTGCCCTCTTTAGAACTAATTTTGCCGAGAAAACAGTATATGACTGAGTTATATACCTGGCCGTGGGTTAAATTTAACCCGTTGCTTTGCTTTATGTTTTCCATGTACCCTCTGGCTCTGTTCACTTCAAAACTTTAGAAAATTAAACTTACGATTATCCAGATAAGATTTCTGCAAAACATATCTCCAAGTTTGTGAACAAGCTGCTGGGAAATATGCTTTGAATTTCACATTAACACTAACCCTAACCGGCTTTTGAAAAACCGCTCCCTAGACTTTATTGGGCCTGAGGAGAAGGCAGTAACTGGGGGTTGGGGGGTGTGGTTGGGGAGATGCTAAAAGAGGACTTGGGTTTCAATCACGTGATATTTTAGCATAATTTTACTCGAGTGGGGATCAATAATTGAACTGAGGTCAAGTAAAACAACAAAGAAACAAGACGGCTGTCAACGCATCTTATGCAAATGATTCTCCGACTATTATAAAAGCCAATGTGAACAAAATAATAGTATGACTCTTGACCACAAAATAGAAATAATCTATTCTGTGCTAGTGTGCTCTTGACGGCCTTTGACTCCCATGTGACGTTATTGAAACCAAAAAAAAAAACCAACATGGTCTTTTCAATTTTATGATGTGGGTATATCATCATACGGTCATATACTTAAATCTATGATGTATATACACGTGTTCAAGACAATACTTTGGAGGTGGGGTTAGGGTTAGGTTATCAATGTGTCTGTATGATGATGTACATCATACATAAAAGTGCACATGTATGATGATATACATCATAGATTTAAGTATGACCAGGGCCGTTGCCGCAGGACTTTGCCTTTGGAGGGTGTGAGGTTAGACTCATGGGCGTACGAGAAGGAAAAAATTAGGGGGGCGGAAAGAAATTTGCCCGACTTTTTCGGATTGTACCCGACCAGTGCCGAAATATTTTTTTCCGGAACAATAAATTTTGGCGGCCATTTTAGGGGTTCAAAAATTTTTCGGACATACCTAAATTTTTCGGAACATCAAACAAATTTTCCCAAACATCACAAAATTTACATAATTTCCCGCAAAATTGGCAGAATTTGTCCCATTTATTTTTATAATAACCCAATATGGCCCGACTGTGAAGCGTATATTGCCCAACTGGCTTTGTTTGCCCAACAAACTGCGGTTATTATTAAGAGAGATTTTATTGCTTTGACTACTTTTTGCCCCACTTTTGCCCGACTTTTGTTGAACATTTGCCCGTCTTTTCGACTTTGTAATCTTTTTGGGAGGGCAGCTGCCCCCCTCCCCCCTGCTCCCCGTCCCGTACGCCTATGGTTAGACGTGCCTGAATTTTTCCAACTTAACGTTTTTACCAAACGTTTTTTGAAAATTTGAGGTCTCTAGACCGTCGGAAATGGCGGAAATGGAGTCCTTCCTACCCAATATTTCAATATTTTAGTATTGCCTGACAATCAAGGTAAGTATTGTTATATACAGTTTAATGTGACTAGGAAAATTGAGAAAATGTTGGAAATTTGGAGTCTCCAGATCGTCAGAAATGTTATTTGGCCATGTCACTTCCTGCGACGACACGTCTCAACGACGTCTTTAGTTAATTGGTTGATTGTTAACTCTAATTCTGATTCGGACTATAGACCAATTGCGAAACTTAGTGGCCGAGCCTTCATACTGCACGAGAACGATGCTTATTATGCAAAAACAAAACAATTTCTATATTTTTATATAGCGAAAAGTGAATTTTAGGGTTTTTTTAAGTGTTTTTTCTTTAATCTCTTTGATCTTTTCTTAATATTTCGTGCTAGGTTATATAAATATTTGTTAAATTTATCTAAACATCGATTTCCCACTATATTTTTACCCGCTTTGGAGAGATATTTCGTTGTTGTTTTAGCATGCGATGGAACAAACATATGGAAAAGATCAATCTAGACTTTAAAGTCTGATCAAGATGCAAATAAAATAGCCAGTATAACTTAACAGACTAAAATATAACTCTTTCTACCCAGATTTTTTTAGACTTCGTGCGAGAAAAAACCCGATTTTCTACAAATTTTGCCCGACATTTACTTTCATATTTTTAAAGTTAAAATCGAAAACTTGCTATTATATTACAACTGAAACAAAATTAATCAATGTTACAACTTATTCTTTGAAATGTATTAATAAAACAGACGGAAAATACCTGATTCTTTCTCTTTTATCGGACGGGGAAAAACAGCAAAACATTGCCTCGCACGCCGCGAAAAACAATGAAATTTGAAGTAAGACTAAATCTATGAACAAGTTTAATTAAGATTTACATAGTCAAAACAGAAATATTGAAAAAAACGAAGAGATTACCATAAAAACCCGTCTCAAACACTGAAATACATTTTTCGCCATATAAAAATATAGCAGAATGATTTGTTTTTGCATAATAAGCCTCGTTTTCGTGCAGTTTAAGGCGCGGTCACTAAGTTTCGCAATTGGTCTATAGAGTTCACTTTTTTATGCCTTGAGAATTACCTGAAATCTACCGGAAATCTACATCACAAAGATGACGAGACTGTGTTGGAAATACGGTACTGATTTTTTTCTAGAATCCAATTGTGCAGTGAAAACTACAACCGGAGAATGTTGTGTTTTTCCAACCAAAGCTTATGGTTTCGTGAGGCGATCGTGTTACACACCGGGCAGTGGAGATACATTATGGTGCCCAACCACGAGCGACTACGATACAGATGGAAAATGGGGAAAATGTGACGTCACTCAACGTAAGCGACATGATACCGTAAACCTCCGACTGATATAAGCCCTGGGCTTATGTACTGTTTAATAAACGAGCAGGAGTGTTTTATTAGGTTTAAAGCCACGAGCGCGCAGCGCGAGTGGCTTTAGACCTAATAAAACACGACCTGCGAGTTTATTAAACAGCTTCAAACACGACTACAAATTCAATAGATTTACTGCCTTATTTATATAAAGAATACTAATGAGGACACGACTACAATAGATACTGCCTTATTAGTATTCTTTATATAAAGAATACTAATTAGGAGTGTTTTATCAGGTTTAAAGCCACTGCACGTGACATATTATGGTTGACATGATTTGCCAATTAGCTCATGAGTTATTAATGAGTGTTTGAAGTACTATTTAAAACACGAGTAGGAGTGTTTTATCAGATATAAAACGCGAGGCGCAGCCGAGCGTTTTATGTCTGATAAAACA